TTTGACATTGAATATGATTGGGTTCTTATATTTTTATTTATTCCCTCTTTTGTTATGGTTTATGGGAGTCAAACAATACGTTCTATGCCTTTCCTGATGTTTCTTTCTTGGCTTGGAATTTTTAGGACTACCGGGTTCAGCTAAGTCAGCATTATGCAAGGAACTACTTAAAGCCCCAGGAGGAATGGGAGACGATCGACCAATTCAAAGTCTGATGGGTGATCTCATCAAAGGTAATTATGTTGTAAAAAAACTGTTGTCAATTAGCACCCAGAAAAATAACTCTTGTAACACACACACACACACTTCAAATTAACATTTTTTAACGTTGGAGGTTTCTAGCAGTTTCTTAATCATGCACTCGTAATATAGGTATCCTTCTTCATCCTGCTAACCTGTGTTTGTATGTTTCTGTATATGAATCTGATCAGATCATCCCAGTCATGTCATAGATATCATTGACCATGGTGCTGACCATTGTTTTTATTTGTCTCTTTGTATGAATCATGTATTATGCTATTGCTGCAAAAATTTTGAAGCCGGCTAGAATGATAGTTCAAAACTTCTAAGATTTGTCCATTACAATAGCAAAACCTATGAATGTATGCAAAGGATTGACCTGTGAAATATGATTGAGATTCATGAGAATTTCAAAATATCTCGAATTTGAGGACTTCTTATTATTGTTCATAGCTTTATTACATCTGCTGGGAGTGTTGTCCCACTTTGGGAAAGTGAAGCCTTGCATGGTAGTTCAAAAGATATTGGTCCTCTCCTCCAACTGCCAATTGGTTTGGGTTGGATACTCATACTATATAAACATTGGAAGTTAAAAATACCAGAATTAACAGGATTCTTCTCATAATACTGTTCATACCTTTATTTAGAAATTTCTTTATCCTTCAGAATAGATCCATTGGTATCCTATTGTCAGGATGCTTTATGAATTAGTACGTCGAAAGATTATTGGAGGACTTATAATATTAAGATTACTTGTTTATTGTCTATAAACAGGAAGATATTGGCAGAAGGTTGCTGATGAGTGCAAGAAAAAACCATATTCAATAATGCTTGCGGACAAGAATGCACCAAATGAAGAAGTATGGAGACAGGTAATTTTCTTTTGGGATTCACTTCAAGGATTGTTCTACAATCTGTTCATGAGAACCCAGAAGTTGCGTTCCATGGAGCCCATGTGGAGGCTGACCGTAGCCCTAGGTCCTAACCAAAACTTGTATTGTTTAGTGCGAGTTACTTTCCATAGGACTAATAAGCAAAAGTGAATTGCTTATAAATCCCTAAATGGGGTGATGTCCCGGGTTAACATCCCAAAATGGTAACCTAAAAGAACTAAAATGGATGTCTCTTGAGTCTGGACCAACAAGATTGATGGCTACTCAATTGATAGGAATCATAAAAAAAAATAAAATAAAAAAATAAAAAAATTCTCTAGATATATTAATGATTTTTTTTTTTTATAAATTAAAAAAAAAAATCTAAAAGGCTTTTCTGTTTTCTATTTATTAATTATCAAACAGAAATTGATTTGTGCTCATCATAATTACAGTATCATTTTTCTCTCCTGTCTTTTGCAGATTGAACACATGTGCCACAGCACTAGGGCCTCCGCAGTTCCAGTTGTGCCCGATTCTGAAGGTTCTGTTGCTCCTGAGGCTGTTGTTTGTTGCGTTCTAGTTCACTTTGTTCACTACTGTAGTTAAAGATGAATGGAATGTACTTTAGTAGTTTAGGAAATGATGCTGCGGTCATTGGATATGCTTTTACATTATGATCTTTTAATGTGCAGGAACCGATTCAAATCCGTTTTCTCTTGATACATTAGCGATTTTCATGTTTCGGGTGCTTCAACGTGCTAATCATCCAGTATGCATTTCATTCTCTCATTTTCTTTTTCTTTGTAGATCTAAGACACGTATACTTATTTGCATACTTACATGCTCGCAATTTCTGAAGGGAAACCTTGACAAGGAATCTCCAAATGCTGGCTATGTGCTGCTAATGTTCTATCACCTTTACGATGGCAAGGCATGATTTACATACTCTGGTCCATGCTCTATTGATGCACCTGACTTTATTTCATTTTATCTGAATTTGGTATTGTCTAAATTTTTCAGAGTCGCCGAGAGTTTGATGGGGAATTAGTAGAACGTTTTGGCTCACTTGTCAAGATTCCACTGCTGAAGTCTGATAGGTAGATTCTGCTTTCTTGTGTTTTCCGAAAGAAAAAGGACCCGATACCTCTCATATTGGTTGTTTTCTATAATGCTTTCTTCTATATGATAATGATAATTATCAGGGGAAAACTGTTCATAATACATCAATGTTGCACCAGATAAGGTGGGTTTTTTTTCTTTCTAGGAGTACTCTTTGCATGGTGGGCGCATAGTAGTTAATGTATAGATTAAGTGAAATTCTCAGTTCATTTGAGTAAATTTATAACAAAAAACATTTAGTGATATATATATGTTTTCCTTTTATTTATCAATGAATTAAAAGATTGTGCTCGTGTACTTAATAAGAGTTCGAAAACTGTGAATAAAGGAAAAGATGATCCAATTTATTTGTGTGGTTGATTCCACAACGTATGAAATGCATAGGATGTGGTGTATGATTTGTTTGTGTAAGACATGAAGCTTATATCTTTCCTCTCTAGCCTTTGCAATACACTAATTTCGTGGGACTTTATTTTGCATACCCAGGAATCCATTACCTGATGTGGTGAGAATATTCTGGAGGAGGGTATAAATCTATACAAGCTTCACACTGCCAAACATGGAAGGTTAGCCTTTTATCGGCCACTATATCATGAAGTTAGATTTTAGCGCAATGGAGATACTTCTTTCCTTTTCATTTGCGTTTCCTGCTTAATTGGAATTTCAATGAAACTAAGCTTTTAGCTGTTTCCATGCACAGTACCATTTTCTATAGTAGCATAACACTTTGAATTTTCATAGTCAATGTTTAACCGCTGTTCTGGCCTCCTTTATGTGCGAAAACCTTACCTCCTTTCTTGTAAACCTGTTCTCAGATTGGAATCAACCAAGGGAACCTATGCAAAGGAGTGGGCTAAATGGGAGAAACAGTTGCGGGATGTTTTATTTGGCAATGCAGAGTATCTTAATTCTGTTCAGGTCATTGTGTAATTCTTTTTTACCTTCCAAGCTGTTGATTCCACATCGTCCAGTTCTATTATATTCACGGTCTCTGGAATTTACTTGATGAACCATTAACTTTTTCAGCTCACTAAATTAAATTTTTGTGCAATCTTTATGTCCTCAGGTTCCTTTTGCGTCTGCTGTTAAGGAAGTGTCAGAACAGCTGAAAAAAGTCGCAAAAGGCGAGTACAAAACTCCAGATACTGGGAAGAAGAAGTTCGGGGCCATTGTCTTTGCTGCTGTTAGCCTGCCTGTTCAGGAAGTCAGTGGTCTGCTTGATAGTGTAAGTTAATGCTTGCTTTCAGTTATTCTTCCAAGTTGCATCACTTATCTAGTGAGAATATGTTGACTTTTTGTTTCGTGCAGTTGGCTGCGAAACACAGTGAAGCTGAAGCTTTCCTCAAAGACAAGCATTTGGATAAACTTAACAAGGCTCATGTTACTCTTGCACACAAGAGAAGTCATGGTGTTACCGCTGTGGCTGGTTATGGAACCTTTCTCCACAAAACAGTCCCTGTGGATATAACTAAGCTTTTCTTCTCGGATAAAATGGCTGCATTTGAAGCCAGCCTTGGGTCTGTCGAAGGCGAAAGAGTAGTGTCTAAAAATGAGTGGCCGCATGTCACCCTATGGACTGCAGAAGGGGTTCCGGCCAAGAATGCCAACAACTTACCCCAACTGCATTCGGAGGGGAAGGCTACCTGCATTGCAATTGACGCACCTGCCACCATTGATGGCACGCTGGAATTTTTCTGAGATTCGATCGGCCAGGCCAGACTGAGCTCCGCATACAAGTGAGTGAAATTTCCTTTGATGATGCGGTGTTCAATGTGAAGGAGAAGATTTAGTATGCCACCAGGAAAAGGAAATTTTGCTGAGTTGATTTTTCAGAGGTTTTTTTTTTTATATAAACAAGGCAATTACAATTTTAAAATTTTGGAATTTGGTTAAGCTTTTCCCAATTGAGGGGTGTGGCTTAGCCGCGGTCACATCCCTCGTATCTATCTACACGACGCGGGCTGCTTGTGTAGCTGCAATTCCAACCTCTCGATGGTGATTCGGCTACGGTAGAAACTGTAAGCAAAGTCCAATGCTGTTTAAGGGAAATGATTTCGACGCAACCTACTTCTTCTCTTGCAAAACTTGTTTATTTATGTTCCTTGATTCTTCGTTTAATTCAGAAACCTAAGAGCGTGCGAAAAGCACTTTGATAAAGTTTGGTTTTCATTCAAAGGAAAGCATTTGAGATGGCTCATTAGCCAGTTTGATAAGTTGTTTTCGTAGCACGTCAATGTTATACGCCTGAACTAGCTTTCCGTAATTCCCAAGTATTCGCTTGTTCCGCAGCCAGTGTAGGTAAGATGGTCACAGCCTCACCGTCGACGACGGTAGCACCATTCTTGAAGCATGCCGTCTTGATTTTCACTCTGAACCACACATTCAAAAACCACATAAGTCGGTCTCTGTTTAACTTAAACAACGTGCAGAAGAATTGCTTTGGCAAAGAATGCTGTATGCTCACACCTGCTCCATCAAAGTAGACCCTCACATTTTGTTTTGGCATAAATTGCCAGGCTCAAGTGGAATCCTTCATTTTTTGCTCATATTATTCCTATGTTGCTTGTACTAGGCATTATAACAAACACTTGGTAGGCATCGTTTCCATAACATACGATACACCATTCTCTTAAACGTCGGTTTTGTCGGGCCAAGTTCCACGAATGGGCTTATGACATTGACTAGTTTGTGGTGGCGATAACTTGACTCTCAAGTTTTCAAGTTCTCGACCCATCCGACTTTGCTAAATTTGATAGAGAGACATCCTTTGCACTTTGAGCGTAGCTTTCAGAACAAAACAATTGAATTTTACAACTCCTGTTTAACGATTTCGTCCAAAGAATAAGTTACAACAATTGAATCAAACAACGGCTACGATACAACATGAACGATACATTCATGGCACAACCAACAGAGCAATTACCCCAAAGAAGCAACTCCAAGAATTGTGCTTCTTTGTACACTTATTGATGATGCTGATTGAAACATCACCAATGCTACTGCTTTTCTCTAACTTGGTGTATTATTATAGTCCGCAGACTCCGGACTTTTTGCGGAGCAGACAGAAGAAAATTGACAGAACCTGCATTTCCATCGCTCATCCTCAGGAGTGTAACTGGCTTCTCGCTCTCCTAACCAGAACTCAAGACAACCCTGTATTTTATTCTTGACCCAATCAGAGTCGTATGCAAACTCATCTTCACCAAGTAACGAATGATCTTTCTGTAACTCATATCTGACTCAAAAATAGTCATATCAGTATCTTCCCAAAAGTTATTGTGACCAAGCAAATATAAAAGATCTCGCTTATAAATTTTATACTCACCTCAATAGCAGTTGGTCATGTGCAGAGGGCAGCATGCTACATGTGTTTCTATAGTATCTCACCATGTCATCAAGGGTCTGCGCAACCAAGAGAAATTTTTTACCTATACATGCATGCCTTTGAAGTGGTAATTATCTGAAGAATCTATGTCACACAATTTTGTTTATGAACTAATAAACAAAACAAATTACTAAAAAAATCCATCTTTAATATCAAGTGATTGGTTTTAGAAGCCAGTATAGTGATAACGGGAACATCAAAAAATAGAACCCCAAAAATCCTGATTTCCTAGACTAAATGTATCTAATAATTCAATGGAGCGACTTTACCTCTGCTGGAAAGCCTGAGTTAGCAGTCATCTCTCTGATTTCTTCAGATAAGATGCCACGAGGATTTAAGGAAAAAGAAGTGAAAAATTTCTCTGATGGGAATTTATCAGCAACTAAATCATCCCAAATGTACTTGTAGCACATTAATTGAAGCCTGCCAAAATAGAGTGTGACTTCATTTTGGTGCATTTCCTCATCAATGGCAACAAAACATCAGCCCAAAACAGAAGCTAATAAAGGTGCATACCTTCCATTTCTTCGTTGTGGTTCAGCAGGAAGTGTATCTTTCACACGAGTCTTTGTGTCAACTAATATTGGGAGTCGGTTGGTTTCTGTAACAGGCATTCGAATCTCATCAATCACGCCCACCATCCATACCCCTTCTGCAAAACCTATTCTGATATCATAAGAAAGTATAGCCAATCATTGAAGGAAAGGAGGGTAAGAAGATCAATGCTCCGATATCATCAATTCCATCAGAGAGAAACGGAGAATTGGCTGTAAGTATAGAGCAAAAGAAAGAGCATGCCTATCTGAAATAACGATATATAAAGATAAGATGTTTTTCTAAGACTTTCTCAATCATGTTTCATTTTCAGTACTGATGTTTCACGTATCCAGAGCATTGTTTCATTAGGTCCCAAAAACTACATCTGGATCACCATCAGCAATCACTCGTGTGTATTTCATATTATTTCAATCAAGTACATGACAAGCTGTATATTCAGTTAAAGGGCGCCATAATCTCACAATCCAGGATTCATACTTATATCCAACCCATACAAAAACCACCAAACAAAGGATCAGAGCTGCAAACTTAATCCAGACACCATTCCTCACAGATGATAACTACTTTATGCAACAATAATGACCCATATGATCCATTTATTAATTGATTATAATGCTAAATAAGCCCTAAGAACGCATTTATCTAACTTATTACGACAAAATGCCCCGCAAAGATAAATTAGGAAATAGAATGATAAAGCTTGGACCTCACTTGGATTGACAGCATCACAATATCAAGTAGCTCCATTCAGTAGGTTAAGGGCCACCTAACAATGTATCGGGAGTCCAAGATTGAATCAAGAGATGCAGATGAATTAACTTACAGTGGCAGCTCACGTGTCAATCCTTCAAACAGTAATTGATTTACACCAGTTATAAAATTCAGAAGCTTCAGAGCCCATCTATCTTCAGTCGACGTGACACGAACTTTAACTCTTTTTACAACCTGCCCACAAATATAAGCAGATTCTAAATGTGCATAGCAAACATGGAGGCCACGGAAAGGTAAGGGAAAGTGCTTTGTACTTTGACAAGAAAGAAAAACGAAAGCGGAATTTTATAAAATCCTGAATTCTAACTTGACTACCAAATTGAAAAATGATTTCAAACCGCTAGGAGTCAGCTAATTCATGCAGGACAAAACCCCAAATAGTAGTCACTTTTTGAATGCTTACCTCGTCTTCGAGTTTTGCATGGCGAGCAATACCCGCTTTCATAGCCTTACTCTCTTTTCGCTTGCCAACAAGGAGAACAAACTCCATTTGTTTTTCACACCATTCCTATAATTGACATGTAATGAAAACAAATCTAGGTAAAATATCTTTCGACTCGCTATGGACAGAAAACTCAAATTAAACCCTCTCGCAGAGTAATAATAGCATTCAGATTACTGAAGTTTTTTATTCATAGTTACTACTACACCCCGCGAGCATTACCAATACTATCTGGAATAAACGACCATACATGGAAATTGGAAGCATTCACAAACTCACACCGGAGAAACAGAGATACTCAATCGGATTCCACCTCATCTTCGATTTTCCAACCGAAGATTATTCAATTTTCAAATTGGAAATGATAATAAAATGCTCTTGTAAATCAATTTTTTTTTTTTTTGCATTAGATTCATACGCCATTGATGTGTCATTGAGAAAAGCAGTAAAATTCAAACCAATCTACTGCACAAAATCATTGTCATCTCATCGCCATACAATTCAAGAATCAATTGATCTCAAACATTCAACGTAATCATCCATACCCATTACCAAAAACCCCATCTGATTCACAATCAAACATTAAAGATTCAAATTTGACAAATAAAAACCGAAACCCATTTCGCAAAAACTCCTAAAAAAGAATCCCAAAGCCAAGAAACTCCATACCGTGGCAGTAATGTCGGTGACATACAACCCCTTCTTCCTAAACCGGTGCAAAAACGAGTCAGCCACCCGAGTCTTCTTCTGGACACTCTTCAACCCACCCGAATCCTCAATATCGGGTTCGGAACAACCCGATAGCCTCCTCTTCGACAAAGCGGTGATCGACTGAATAGACCTGACGTTGCCGTGGAACGAAAGCGTTGAGGACCGAATTGCAGGGATGGCAGAGAAGGAAGCGCGAGCGGAAACAATAGCAGCTTCGAGTAGAGCCATCTCTTCCTCGCTCACAATCTCGATTGGGATTTCTGGCACGATTGCATCGTTCCCCTTGTGGTTGTGGTTGAAAGGTGAGTCGGAGATTGACTCGGACGGTGACTCGGTCATTTCGGACGAGTCTGGGGAAATGTGACCGTTAAGAGCTCCACGCTTATGGGGCAAGTTATCGTGGTGGTTTTTAATTTCAAAAGTGTCGGAATAGTTTTAGTTGTGTACGATACAACCATTAAATTATGGTGCTAATCGTTGCATGTAAGATTTACCAGAAGTTGCTTTTTTCAAAAGAAAACTTGTGAAGAAAAATGGGAGCACAATGGACTGGGCCTGGTCTCACTTTTCAGGTTTAGGCTTCTAAGATCATCTTAAAAGAAGATGTGATTTTAAATAAAAAATTTAAATTTGATAGTTTATGTGGCATTTTGATATATTTTAAAATTTTACTTCCCACCCGATATTTCAAATTAAATTATTATTTTATTTTTCATAATTTCTGTTTTGACACTATCTAGATCCATTTTCCACCACCTCTTCGTTAACCTCCCCCATCACATGGTCATTTCTCACAATGAACTGCATCATCCTCCTCAAATCCACCAACTCCCTCTCCATCAAGAAAAGCCTCTCCTTCAATGTTAGATTCTCTTCCTCCAATTAAACAAAATGGGTATCCTAATCATCCACCCTATTATCCAAAGCATTGTTACAAGCAACCCCACTGTAGTTTGGGTACACCATGTCGAACCGACTCAAATCATGGTCCAACCTCCTTTCCACCTCCACATGGTCCTCCACGTCCCTCTCACTCGATCAGCCACCACCCTCCTCATCATCATTTCCAAGTGAAGGAAGCCAAATCAACTCTTTCATTGACCCATACCCATCAATACCCACTCCGCCTTCGCCATATCTCATAAAATCTCCCTCAAAGGTGAAACATGGGCATGGGTAGAATAGTCGGAGTCACCACACAAGGTGAATCCAATGAGGCTAAGATTCAACGGTGGCAGCTTTTGGGCGACGAATTAAGGCATCGGCTGAGGCCAAGCCTTGTAGTTCCGATTCATCATCATCGGGTGAGACTGACTCTTCATCATCATCAACAGGTAATAAATGTTTTAAAACAATAGTAAAAAGCATTTAATAATAAATTAAAATGTATTTGAAGCTACTCTCAAATTTTACAGCAAGCCCTTTTGCTGCCATTCCATGTCATGCCACATAGGATTTGGCATTTCGGTTGGAAACAATAGTGGTTGTCTCTTTTTACTGTTATAGCTTATGTGGACAATTTGGCATCTCCTTTGGAGATGCTCTAAGTTTTGATTCCTTGTTTGAAATGCCTTTTCTGTTTTTAAAGTAAACAACTAAACTATTTTGAATATACATCGTCTACACGAAGTTCTTTAAAAGTAAAATGTCTTGGGTGTTAGTGTTATTGTATACGGTCGTCATGCCAAAGACTCTCTTGACCTTCATTTGAGGTTTCGTGTTTGGATCTTGGATTTGGTTGGAATGACAGGCTCTCAATTCTAAAATCTTTGATTATCATTTAGAACTATTGTTTAGTGACATTCAAAGTTCATGTTTTGTATGTCATTTAAAATCTCAATCATTTGATGCATTATGCGTTAGAGTTTTTTTTTTTTTTTTGATTACGTATTCTTTGATGCGTTAGAACTTCTAATTGATTACGTATTCCTTGATTTACATTTGTTTTCAATCATCCAATGGAATTTCATTCGCATTCTCATTTTACCAACTAAGATTTTGAGTCAAATTATATTTGACTTTAAAAAATGTTAGTCATTTATGACTTTGAAGTTATGTATAAAGTATTTTATATATAATCGTAGAGTTAAGACTGAAACTACCCCCTTTGATTATACACAAGTTTTTTTTGACTCAACGTTTTTACTAAAACACCAAAGTAAAAAGTTAAATTTAATTATTTATGCATTGTGAATTATATAACTTGCACTATTATATCTGAAGATCTCCAATTCACCGAAAAGGTTAAGAGTATATGACTAGAGATAAATGCAAAGTTATACTATTTTTTTGTTTTTGAACCACTAATATTATTTACACTAAGAGGAAGGAGATGGGTTAAGTCTCACAATGTATCAACAATAATGTAGTTCAAATTCGCATTTGACGATAATTAAACTTAAAACCTCTCATTTACAATATTCAACTCTGGATTTAGAAGCATGACCCTCAATTAAAAGAGATTTTTAATGTGCCCAGAACACAGAGCGGTACGCTATATGTCATTATAGAAGCTAAGGAAAATGATATGTATTTCAACATTGATGGCCACTTTTATCATTTACTTCTATCTCACTGCATGTTAATGCTTTTATTGATCATAATTTAATAGTTGTATTTTTGTTCACCACCCTCAAGTGGTGGTAATGATCACCACCATATTTATCATTGTTAGATGAGTTTAAATTTTGAGATTTGTGTCTATCCATTACACATATCTCGAAATTTAAACTTATTTAAAGGGTGGTAGACATCACCATCACTTGGTGAGCAAAAACATTCCCTAATTCCCAGAACCATCCAGAAGTCTAAATAAGTGCTTGTGAGAAGCTCTGAATGACCATCTAATGGTCTAGACAAGTGGTGGAAAAGAGAAGACCACCCTGACTCTGCATATGTTGTACAACATAAGCTTTGAACCAAGAAGAAAGACCACCATAACTCTGTTGTTCTTAGACCTTGGTTCCAATGAAGAAGAAAGACTCTCTCTTCATTTCCCACCTGACCAACTCCCCACTTTTCTCTTTCTTTTTTTTTAATTGTTTTTCCAATCAGTTGTGTCCTCTAACATTTTAATTAACAAACGGATGAAAATTACTCAACCAATGCTTTTATACCACATATTTGACACCATTATTTCTTTTAAAAGTCACTATAAATTCACACTCTCTAAAAAATATTTCGTAAAGTACTACGAACTCATAATCATTTGAACTTTCATCTACTAAAGCAAAATTATGATATTTTTAATGTTATATGTTTAATAATAAACATAATTAAAGTAATAAACTCAAATTCTTAGTACAAATACAGATTTTTAAGTGTAAATATCCACATATTTATGTGATATATAAAAAAAATTAAATCAGCCTAGTTCGCCTAGGCCAGCCCTCTAGTTTGTTGCCCAATTAGTGCTTAGCGTACCTTAACTATGACCACCCAATGTTAGAATCTTGGATCCACCACTAGATATAACCAACACACTCGTTTTTAAGTCCTTGAACTTAATAATGTGTTGTCTCATTAGTCCTTTTCACTAACAATGTCTATTTTTTAATTAAATCTAAAAAATCTAGAAATATAAGACAGTTCAAACTCATAATAAAGTTTAAGGAAAACTAATGAAAATGACTTCAAATATTCGCATTTTAATCAAAACTCATCCATGAACTTTATTTAATGATAAAGGATAAAATAAAAAATAAAATAAAAACATACAAAACACCATATCACTAGTACAAAAAACAGTTTGCGTCACGCAAAGTCAAAAAACATTGCCTAAAAATTAGCCCAACGACATCTTCGTCGCATGCAAACCGTCACGTAAAGTCCGTGAAAGCAGGGTTTGCGTAACGAAGAGATAACATGCGTCGCGCAAAAGGCATTTGCGCGACGACAACACATGTGTCGCACAAAAGGATTTTGCATGACAACAGAAACTGCGTCACGCAAAGATCTTTTGCATGACGACAACACCTGCGTCGCACAAAATGACCTTGCACGACAAGAGAACCTATGTCACGTAAAGAGCTTTTGTGCAACGAAGAAGTAACATGCTTCGCGCAAAGAGCTTTGGCGCAAAATATTTTTTATTTAATTTTTTATAAAAATTTTAATTAAATTATAAAAAATATTTAATAAACCAAGAAAAAATATTTAATATGTACATACAAGATGTTCGAACATAAAACAAAAATCTACAACAAGCAGTACAAATAAACAAGCCGAATTGGAACCAGCGAAATAAATAAAAAGCTTACAAGTGAACAAACTAAAACTAAACTCTAGAGAGCAGGGAACCCAACTAACCCCTCTTATTTTCCAGCAAAATTTTAGCTGTTCCTTTTCATAACTTCTTCACCAAGAGATCAACATCATGTTCTGGCTCTACGACCAATCTAAGAGTAGGCGCATGGGGGTACTTAGGGGAAAGCGAGAAGGAGAAGTTGGATACTATGAGAGCTATCAGAACCTTGAGTTCAACCATGGCAAAGTTCTGTCCAAGACACCCTCGAGGACCAACTCCGAATGGCATGTACAAGTGTGGAAGTTTGCCTGTGATCCTATTCGCAAACCTGTTGGGGTTGAATGGATACAAATCAGGGTCCCTATAATTCCGAATCAGTGTGCAATGTTATCACCATTATCCAAACATTAATACCCTTTGGAACCTGAATGTCCCCGAACTTCATGTCCTTGAAAGCCTCTCTTAACACCACACTAACCGGGGGATATATGGCACAATGATTCATGAATCACCATTGTTAGTTGCACACATCATTCAAACAATCAAGTTTATGGTAACTGATGCATACCTCATGTCCTTGTTAGCAACCCAAAGCTGTTTTGCGCAACGAATGTAATCACCATTATCCAAACATTGATACCCTTTGGAACCTGAATGTCCCCGAACTTTATATCCTTGAAAGCCTCTCTTAACACCACACTAACTGGGGGATATAGGCGCAATGATTCATGAATCACCATTGTTAGCTGCACACATCATTCAAACAATCAAGTTTATGGTAATTGATGCATACCTTCATATCCTTGTTAGCAACCCAAAGCTATTTTGCACAACGAATGTACACATTCGTCGCACAAAACTGTTTTGGCGTGACAACAGTCTTCGTCGTGCAAAGTTCTGTTGCACAAAATGTCTTTGCGTGACGTTTTGTTGTCATCGTTGTGCAAACACACTTTGCGCGACGCAATTTGCTTCGTCGTGCAAGTATGTTTTTGTACTAGTGTATGGATCGATGAGCATTACCCCCCCCCCCCCAAAAAAAATCCACCCCCATTGTTAGCTAACATTAAGCCATTATCATTATTATTTTTTTCTTAGAATAATATAAAGACTTCAAATTGAATAACATTTTCCTAGTTTTATTTTTGTGGTGTTGTTTCCAATAGTAGTCAAGATGATGAGAGATTTTTCAATATGCCCAGAATACAGAGTGATACACCACATCTCTATACAAGTGGTGAGATTCTTGTGTTAAAAAATAAAATTTCCCACCACTTA